GAGAGCCACAAAGGTGTTTTCGGGCACAACCTGGGTTTGTATCTATTCCATATTCTCAATACTGGTAGTCCTCACTTAGCGACCATTTGTTCAGCGACCATTCGAATTTATGAAGGTGCTGAACAAAGGGACTTTCAACCCATGCCCGAAGTTACAGCCATTGCAGCACCCACACAGTCACGTGATCTCGATCTGGGCCCTTGGCAATCAGTTTATACTCACCACCAGTTGCCAAGCGTCCCGCAATCATAGGATCGCCATTTGCAATCTTCCCTGCTAGCTTCCCCAGAAAATCAATGGGGAAGCTGGCAGGGAAGGTGGCAAGCCGCTGCCGCCTCCTCTCGACTTTGGGGGCTGGCTGAAAAAGCTCTGTGCAAATCTCTGGGGGCTGCCTGAAAAAGCCCCATGCTGAAATCCAAGCAGGATTTTCAGCCATGGAAGATTTTCAGCTTCAGAGTGGAAAGGCTTCAGAAACCTCTCAACTCTGGGGCTGAAAATCCAAGCAGTTCTGCGGCCCTTGCGCACCCGACCTGCAACGCACCCCCACACACTCTCCCCCACCCGGCAGTGCCCGGGGCTTGCAACTTCTTGCCGGCTTCCCCACTGACTTGATTGTGGGAAGCCAGCAGGAACTTGCCTCGCCTAAGGACCCACGATCCTCACTTCACAATGGCAGCCAGGAGTGCCAGGATTGGGGTCACTAAGCGAAGCAGTCACATGATGATTCGCTTAATGACTGCATCCTTAGCAACCTAAATTCTGTGGTTGTTAAGCAAGGACTACCTATAAAGGCATGTCTGACATAATTATTTTTAAAATCCATATTAACTTTGACTTTATCGTACCACAAATATTGATGCCACCCAAATCTCAGGTGGTGTGCTTCTAATTCCAAAAGCCTTTTATTTCTCAGCAGCATCCACTCTTTCATCCAAACCAAACAGCCAGCTGCAAAATACAATTTCAAATCAGGTAAACCCAATCCTCCTCTTTTCTTTGCATCTCGTAACACCTCATATTTAACTCATGTTTTTTTCCCCCGCCACACAAATTTAGATATATCCTTCTGTCCCTGTTTAAATGGTGCATCAGTTGTCAAAACAGGTATTATCTGAAACAAAAACAACATTCTAGGCAAGACATTCACAGAAACTCTCCCCAGCAATGACAGTTGTAGTTTCTCCCACCTTAATCTGTCTTTTTTAAAGAACAAGAACCTTGAACAAGAACGCCGAGTTCAAATTGTCCAAGGCCTTCTCCACATCTAAGAAAATCAATGTGGCTTGTTTTTCATGATGTTGCTCCGAATAGTCCAAAATGTCCCACATGTTTCTAATGTTGCCCTTTAACTGTCTTTCAGGTAAAAACCCACATTGATCCTCATGAATAAATTCTTGTAAAATTACTTCCAGTCTATCAGCTAGAATCGTTGTGAACAACTTGCAGCCATTATTCAATAGTGATATCGGTCTATAATTTCTTGTTAAAGTCGAATCTTGTCCCTCTTTAGGTATTCGTGCTGTTGGCCTCTTCCAAGTCTCTGGCTTCTTTCCTCCCTGGAGGATGGGGTTCGTCGTGTTTTGGAAGGGTTATAAAAGTTCATCCTCAAAACATTTATAATAAGAACCTGATAATCCATCTGGTCCCGGTGGGAACCATGATATCTAATTTGGGGGGGCAGAAACGGTAATAATTATGTTTGTAACTGCTGTAAAGAAGATCAGAAATCGCTTCTTTAGATATTTTTCTTTTCCCTTCTCTTTCTTTTTTCTTCTCTTGACTTTTACTGCTTTTCACTTTTTCTTTTATCTTTTCATATCTTTTTCTTTTTTCCAATTCTTTATGTTTCTGTAGCTTTTAATCCTGGAAAAAGATTGTCTCAATAAAAATTATATATAAAAAAATACAGTGATACCCAAAAG